AGATTGCTGGGTTCGGGATCAATGTGCTTTAAAGGTGAACTGCGCTGGGTACGGTCTAAGGCTTTGTATGTATTAACGTGGCATTGCATTATTAGCCCTTGAAATGGGATGCTTTCCTGCCCCCTCTTGAAGACTCTTAGCCCACCAGTGTGCCACCTTGCACACAGATCTCTGAAACATACGACATGATCGCTCGCTTCCCTGCCTGTGGCCTTTCTCCCGCTCAGCCCTTTCTCCACTCGCTGCCTGCAGCATGGAGTCCGTGCTCCTGCTCTTCATGCTGCCCGGGGTCTGAAGCAGGCTGGGTGGGGGAGCGGAGTGGTCAGAAGGGTTGCATCCCCAGGCTATGGGCCAGCCGGGGTAGAAGCTCCCTGCAGCTTGACGAAGCAGTAACTGGTCAAAGGGGCCCAGAGGGATGTGACCCATGGCACCAGGAGTAAGTGGTAGCACTAGGTGATTTTTGCTGTGGGATAGCTGCTGTGCAGAGGGCCGCACACAGGAACTGGTCCAGAAATCCGAAGGCTCCACGGCTAACTCGAGTGCTGCCTTTTCCTTATGGCCTTGACCCCCAGTGACCTCTCACAATCAACTCTTCAGTGTGACAGAGAGTTGGATGGGCCAGGGAGGGATCCGGATTAAAAGCTTCTGCTGAGGCCGCTAAGTTAAGGGCAGCGGAAGCAATAGCAGGTACGTCAGTGATCAAACCCTGAACGGGTCAGCTGGTGACTTTCCTTCTCACCAGAATTAAAGGGTGATGGAAGGGGGGTGTGGGGAACACACTGAGAGATGCGGTGCTCAGAGTTCCCAGTTTCTCTGTCTTGTTTATGATAAATAATTGCAATGAGCTATTAGTGGTTTGCTCCCCATTGGGAAGCCTCCATTTGGAGCGATCTAAGAAACAATTAAACAGAATATGGTCACTTGAAATGGTCCCACAAAGGGCTGTTTTGGACAGTCAGTGCATCCCTTTCCATCCCAGGAGCTTAAAGTGCTCTCAACGTACCGGTGATTGGAGCTTCACACCAGCTGTGGGCGGTGAGGCTAGTACCATCCTCCCCATTTCACAGAGGGAGAAACTGAGGCAAGAAGAGAAGTGGTTTTCCCGAGGTCACACAGTGGGGCCCTGATCCTGTGATGTGGCAAGTGCACTCAACGCCTGGTGCTGGGGGCAAGATGGTCAGAAGGGTTCAGCGTGTCTGGGGCTGAGCCATCTTGAAAATCTAACCTGTGAAGGCCAGCTCGGGCTTCTGCTCCCACTGCAGCCAGGGACAAACTTATTGCAAGGAGATCAGGGTCAGCCCCTTCGATGGGGAGATGTCTGGGTTCGGCACTTTGCAGGATCCGGCCCAAAGCTTGCACTAAACCCCAATTCACCTGCCTCCCACGGTTGCTCTTGACCCGTCAGTCCCGGTGGCCTGATCCGGCACTAATGGAAGCTTTGTTGCTTATTTGCATCGTCCTTGTCTGTCCAGTCACCCTTTCACAAGAGTAACTGGCTGCTGCCGGGGAGGGGAACGTGCGGTGGGACCGACTGGGCCAACAGCCTCTTTCCCAAGGGCTGGAAGTGTGTCAGGAGAGCTGCCCACACTCGCTTCAGCAGAGCCCAGCTTCAGTTCTTCAGCTGACAGTTCACTTGCACTGTCAACAGGAGACAGGCAATAATCGGTTACCCGGGGCACACTGGAGATCAGGCAGGTTGCCATTTGAAAAAGCAATGTCGCCCCAAATAATTATTGTCCCTGGAGCAAGAATGGCCTCTCCTCCACCAATATTCATTGAAGGTTTCATTTAGGGACAGTGAGAATGGCTTCTAGCCCCAGCCCCACCCTGCTCTGGGACATTCCCCCCTTCCTGGGTGATATACTGCCCCCAGTCCGGGCTTGGTCCGAAAATCCCCTCCATGGGTCAGTCCAGAAGGGCTCCTGCCCCAGTCTGTCCACCCCAGCCCTGTGCTAGAGCCCCAGTGCATTGACATTCCGGCGCCTGCCTGCAGGGAGGCAAGAGCCAATGTGAAGCGAAGCGGATCTCAAAGCAGGCCGGGGATCGCCTGGCAATTGCAAACCCGATTGCGCCTCCCATCCCGTCCGACTCTCGATCCATCCGTCGGAGCCGGCGCTGCGGCGTCCTTCGCCTGCTGGATTGTCACAGTAAAACAAACACCTGCGCCCTTTGGAGCCCTTGATTGCGGGCTGCTTCACCTGCAGGACCCCGCCCCCGCGTAGACCGATCCCAGCCCCGTCTCCAGGCCCCTCCAGCCTCCCTAGCTGGCGTCTCACCACTCCTGGAGTTGGCTTTAGGGGTGACGTTAGCTAGGGATTGAGTGTTTCCACGGGATGATTTTGAATGCAAGCCCCACGTTGCTCAACCCGTGTGGAAGGCCCCACGTGTGCGCGCTGGGGT